GAGAAAAAAGTGAAGTTTCTTTAAATTTTGAATTATCCTTGTTTTTCATCCACAGGTGGTGTGCAGCAATGCCCTTAAAAAATTTTTCGGCTGAAATCAGATAAACTCCTCAAAATATCGTTACGAGAACTTCTGGGCAGAAAGCAAAAGCAAGCAGGTTTATTGGATTTTCCTCCGCAGCCAATCTTGGGAAAACTCTTAAAACGAACTAAAAAGCTGTTTATTGATGCGATGACACCTGCAGGAGTGAAAAACATCAGAAAACCGTTCCTGCTGTTAGCGATCTGCAAGTTTAACGCAAAAACTAAACATTTGCCGATCTTAACGCCACTTCATATCTGTCGAAGAATTCTAAGACCCTTCTGGTTAGTCGGTTTGGGTATCCTGCGTTAGTGGTGATGTTACTGGAATGCTTCCCAGATGCTAGGCACAGCTACGCTCGATCCAGAGCTGCTTGTCTCCAATTTTGTGCATTTCTGCGATGTATGTGTACCACCTCTGTATAAATACCTTCGAGGATGTGGCGTTTTGAACAGATTTCTTTAGCAAAGCCTCGACTGTTGGTCGTTTTTCTTCTCTGACCTCCTTCTTCCCTCCTTTTACTTTTTTTTTCTATTTCTTGCTGTATTTCTTATTATATTTCGCTAAAATTTTCATTTTTTGCATTCCTCATGTACATTTCAGCTTTTGAGTCACATCGGTTAGGTCCTCAACACCTATTTTTTCTCAACGCAGTTTTCCCCTCATCAGTTATCAGTTGTGTCCTGTTAATGAGGGTTACATTGCCTCATGGACTGCGTTCTTTAGTTTCTAAATTTAGTGAATTTGCTGCTTCTTTTGCCTCATTAATTTTCATCCTCCTCACCCAAAATCCTATTTTTTTACCACCACTGACTCCTTGTTCTGTCCGATCAACTTAATTTCGGCTAATTTTTGCCTCCTTTAACCCAGTTTTTTCGCATTTTTCCTCTCCAATGATGGCAGTTTTGACGATTTCGATTGCTGTATTTATATAAAACAGTTTTGTTCGTTGTTGAATATTCTCTGTTTCTTCTGTTACATGTAC